GATTCTCCCAAGTTTTGAACTTGTCTCCATCCCGCTCGCTCTCATGTCTCTCTGTGTATATATATGTGTGTGTGTGCACATATTCAAGACATGCCCATCAGCCAAACACTCTCTTATCTACAAACAAGAATTTGACGTTTGGTTGGTTTGAATCTAAACCCTAAGCTCGATAAACCTTATAGAGTGAGCTCGAGTCCCTTTTCTTTTTCTTTTTTTTTTTAATAAATGTTGTTTTTTTTTTCCCTGTTTTATTGATTTATCCTTTTTCCTTTTTGTTTTCGTTTTACATCTCTGTTTCGTATATGGGTTCACACATTTTTGGGCATTTTCTTGATTTTTATTTTCTGGGCATTTTCTTGATTTTTGTTTTCTGGGTTGTTGAGTTTTGTGTGTGTGTGTGTGTGTGTGTTCTGTTTGTGGTAATATGGTATACATTGTGGAGTCTTTCTAGTTTTCTGTTAAAAAAAAATATTATCTTTATATTGTGTTCTTTGAGCTTGTTTTTGATATTTATGTGTGTGTGTGTGTGTGTGTGTGTGTTCTGTTTGTGGTAATCTGGTATACATTGTGGAGTCTTTCAGTTTTCTGTTAAAAAAAATATTATCTTTATATTGTGTTCTTTGAGCTTGTTTTTGATATTTAAGATGGTTCTACGCAGTTTTTTTGAGACAAATGATAGGATTCTGGATTTGTTTCATCATCTTGAAACAATGAAACAATTCTTGAATTAACTTCAATGCAATAGTTCCAAGATTTTGTTTTTATTATTTTTTTTTTCTTGGAGAGTACTGATATGGTTGGATAAGTTCAAGATGTTTGTGGATCGACATGGTCGAAGGTGGTATAGTTGGAATCTATCATGAAATCTAGTCGAAACATGAATCCAAATGATGCCGTGATCTGAATCTGGGACTTCACTTTTGTATCATCAACACTTTATTAGGAGATTGCATTTGGTTTTCTTGAATCTGAAAATTTGAAATTTGAGAATCAGATTGAGTGATTAATAGTTGAGAATTAGGAATAGCTGGATTTTACTCAGTTTTGCTGAATAATAAGAAGAAAAAGAACCAAAAGAAAACAATGATACATATCCTAGTCGAAATATTTGGGTTGTGAGTAGATATTAAAATTCTAAATATTTTTTTTTTCGAAATAGAGTTTCATGAAGTAAGAACAAGTTGCAGCCCTTGAAGCACACTGCAAAGTACTGATGTAGATCCCTATAAGTGAATCATCCAATGCCATTAGATTTGGTTAATTTGTTCTTTTTATCGTTGATCTATAGCTTGATGGATTCAATCAATCATTTGTGTGGTTTTTCTTGTCTTTTCTAACTATTCACTAGAAGCTGATGAGTGATGATCTTGCATAAAATGTGCGCCTGAGATGTTGAGTCTGTGTTGTTTAAGATAAGGTGTGAAAGAATGGTTCTTTTTAAGTTGTGTCATACTTTAGCATTGAAATTTACTGTTTATCACTAAGAAAACATCATCCGAGAGTTTAGAGTTCAATTAGGTGATTCTTGAAACGGCTTGCGATCCAAATTCAGAACGATTTGCTTTGTGTAGCACAGTTGCCTTTGAACTTATGATAATCCAGATCAAACTTATTTATCTTTGATTATTCAGAATGATTGACTATATAGCTTCCATAGTAGAACAAGCTCTTACTAACACAACATTCTTGTTCAAATCGCAGCAGATCATGAAGACACGATTGCCTTCAACTTTTTTTTTATACAAACTGTAATCCAATGAGGCGTGCAGTCTTGAATAAGGAGAACATGTCCTCTTACCCTACTTTTCGAATTACACGAGCTCGTGCAAAAGCTTTACATCCTTTGGAAAAAAAACCAGGTGACAAGGTTTTGCGAAAAAACGCAAAAAGGGCATCATGCAGTGACAAGAAGCCTGAGGGTTTAGATGGTTGTTTAAAGAAAAGGGCTGTCCTTAAGGATGTGACTAACGTAACAAATGAGGTACTAATATTTGTTGCACAATGTGATTTTTTGAATTCTGAAAGAGTAGCTTTTGCAGTTAATTGCGCTATGTGATTTCTTGTTGTTGATGCGAAAATTCCTTTGAAAATCAGAGGTTGATAGTGTTTCTAAATTGTTGAAAGCTAAAAACTTGAATGAGTTGAGGAGTGGTGTCTTGGTGAATGAAACATGAAAGTGCTTTACGAATCATTTATTTATTCATTTTGTGACACTCTCTATGTTGTACTGCTTGCATTGCGAAGTACCCTGTCGTTAAATAATTGGACAAGTTCTCGAGTAGTTCATATAGGGAAATATTCCCTTTATACACAAAAAAAACTTCCTTTGAAATGCAAAACCGGGCATTCTGTTTTCTTATCGACAAATATACTGAATATTGGGCATTTGTTCGGTTGTCAGCTTAGAAAACGAGATGCAAAAGTCTCCTTACAGACAGGGGGAAAGGTGGCTCCTGCTTGTATTGCTAAAATACCCCAAATTCAAGAGGATAAAAGAGAAAGCACGAAAATTGTATCAGTCAAGAACTTGCCAACCGAGATAACTGAACTTGTGGACCGAAAATTGTTGCGCACATTAAGTCCAATTCTTGAGAAGACAAATCCCAGTAAGTCAAACTGCACTGTGAGGTCCATAATAGTATAAGATATTTTTTGTATAAGCTTCCTCAAAGAAGATGTTTAACGGTTATTGTTTGTTGGTATTTCCTCAAATATGCGATGGACCTCAAATTTCACACATTCAATCGATAAAAAGTGCAAATATGTTATTTCTCAAGGACTTTTTTTTCTATATGTTATTCATCAATGATATGGTTGTTTGATTTTCATTCAAATGCTATCACACACACACACAAACGCGCCAAAAA